TAATCTGGGTTGTCATTTTACTGACCTCGGAAGGATGGAAGGCTGTGCCAGCCTTGAGAAGGTCAGGATCAAACTGCTGGCAGTAAGCAGAGTCAGCCTACATAAATGCATTCTAACAACTGTGTCACCATGGCTCTTTGGTATATAAAATTATTATTATTATTATTATACACAAAAAACAACAATGTATACAGCAAATGAGATAACTATGCTGGGTTTCACATCACAAATCACTAGTCGAACACTTCCCAACCGTTTAGGACTGCGTGATGTATCAGCGGAGTATGTGAGCAGATCCCAGTAAGGCGGCCTTCTGTAACTGACCAATGGTGATTCTGTCAATGCCAATTGTTTTCAAGTGCTTGCCTAGGTCTTTAGGCACAGCAGCCAGTGTGCCGAGTACCACTGGAACCACCTGCACTGGTTTATGTCAGAGTCTCTGCAGTTCGATTCTCAAGTCCTAATACCTGGTGATTTTTTCAAGTTGTTTCTCGTCGATTCTGCTGTCACCAGGTATGGCAATGTTGACGATCCACACTTTTTTCTTCTCCACAATTGTGATATCCGGGGTATTGTCTTCCAAAACTTTTTCAGTCTGTATTCCACATTAGTTTTGCATGCTCATTTTCGCCACTTATTCAGGCTTAAGATCCCACCAGTTCTTTGCTACAGGCAGATGGTAGTTGTGACACAAATTCCACTGGACCATCTGAGCAACTGTGTTGTAACGTTGTAGTCAGTCTGAGCGATTGTCTTACAACAGATCAGTATATGATCGATGGTGATCGATTATTATTATTATTATTATTATCATCATCACCATCATCATCATCATCATCATTATTATTATTGCTCTTGTTATTGTTGTTCTGATGTTTACTAAATAAAAATTTAAATATTGATTTTGAATGTTAAAGCAGCTTTAAGTTGTGTTGGAATGAAGACTAATTACTGGTTAATTTTAAAGATATATCTCATAGTCACACAAGCAAATGAGGCTATTGCTAGTCATTTCTAGTCAATAGCAAAATAGCCTATGTCCTAAAAAAAATCACATACACAGCCTCATCTATCCATTCTTTTCTGATGGATAGGTGAAGATAAATTAGCAATTATACTGTATGGTAATTGCTGAAAAAATTGAGTGGTCCATACATTGCACTAAGGGGGAATTAATTCATGTTTTAACATTTCACTGTTCAAATTAGAAGTTACCAACTTCTATATCCATGACAAAGAGACTTAATATTCAGGCTTAAATCCTGCCCATTCAGCAGTGATTTCTACTTGCAGTGGAGCGTGAATTAAAGATTACAATGGAAAAGATTATATCAAAAACAAATTATATCATAAGATTAACATTCTTTTATGAGTACATTTTCAACATTAACAATTAGGACACAAAGTTTTGGCTAGAAACCATAATTAATAGCACGTGAAATAAGATTCAGACCATGCCATTTCTTCAATGTACTTTAAAATATATAATAGTTTGAAAATGAGCTGGTATATGAAATGTCTGGAAGCAGCATATATTATCTTGTTCTGATGTTCATAAGAAATTGGTGTCTGATTGCATTAAACAACAACCTTTTAATTCAAACTTTAGCACTGATAAAGGAAATACTTGTAGTTCAGGATTGACCCCTCAACTTTAATATAATAGTGCTGTTAGAAAGGTAGTTTTTGGTGTCTTCCCCTTTTTATTTAGGTTGTTTTATTGTATTACCTTGCTATAATAACTGCATACAGTAATGCAGACTTTGTTCTTAATACTATAAAAGAAACAAAAAGTCAGAACAAAGAAAGTTTTAAAAGTTCCAAATTTATTTTAAGATTGATTTCACAATACATTGTCTTTTTGAAACATTGTCTTAGGTTCTAGTGGAGCTTCAACTTTAATCATGTTTACAGAATTATTAGACTATTAATACTATTTAAAAATCTAATCCATTTGTTCATTTGGAACATTTCTTCCAAATGGACAAATGTTCTCCCACTGTTTTTGATACAGTCAATATGATTGTGACATGATCCAGATATGCTGGAGTTGATTCTTATAAAATATTTTAAATAAAGATATCCCCTTTATTTCCCACTTTACATGGTAGTTTTGAAACATCCCTCTTCACTGTAAGAAATCAACTTATTCATCAAAGCTTTGAAAATTAACAAAAGAAATAAGGAAAGAAATTCAACTTATTTCTGCAGCTCTTCTCTGATGCTTATGAATTAAAGGTTTAATTGATAATAATTCTGCTTTCAAGATTAATTACACTGCACAATTTTGATTCTAAGCAAGGCACAATTATTGGAAGTTCAAAGGATCATTAAGCAGGCAACATGGGATAAATGTAACCTCTCATGTTTCCCCCCAAATTTATATAATTTATGGTTCACTGGCATCAGCTAACTCTTTCACTATGGAAGATCCTAATGCCAACTGCAAGCAAGTTCCATCACTGCCCTTGAAACAGACACAATTATTTGCTTGATGTCCATAGACTGTTCTTTCAGCCAGTCCGTCCATAGGCATTCGTTGGGTGTTGTGATGGAAGAAGGTTCTGTAGGTCAGTCAGAATCTAAGTGCAAAAAATCATATCAGTTCCCTATTCTTCTATTCTGAAATCATATTTTATAATGTATAAAAACTTATTTATCATTTATCAGTGTAAAGATTCTAACAATTTTTAAATAGTTTCTAAAATCCACATGTGCCTTGAAATGAGACGAGGATAGAACTTTCAGGCATTATAAATACACATATTCCGACATCAGTGCATAATGAATTATTTCAACATAGAAATCTATATTAGTTTCAAGATATTTTTTCTGAATTAGTTGAACATTCAAACTATAATTTTGTACCAAAGTGACATTTGTGCATGTAAAAAGCTGTTATGTATCACCTTGATATCTACAATGTGCACATTAAGTGCAGAAAAGCACCTTGGAATTATGCAGCATGGATATTTTGCTGTCCTCCTTCTTTTAATATTAAGAGAAGGGATGATGTTGATCAGACAGTGAACAACAGCCTAATCAAGGAACAACCAAGAAAAAAACACTCTCACCAACACTGATAGAACAAGTCACTGTATTTAAATAGAGAGCAGAGGGCACACTGAAGAGGTTTCCTAGTTGTATAATGAAACCTCTGCAAAAAAACAACCAAACTCAGAGAGCACCATGAACTCCACAAGTACAGTTGTCTAGTGTGCAGAAATAATTTGGTAGCAAAAGGGCTAAGTAAAACAAGGGTAAGATTAATTCTTGTATGACTAGCATAAAAAATTATGTGTTCTCCATCTTAATAGATATCATTTGAATTGAAGTACACTTTAGATATCATTTGATTTGAATTACACTTTCTGTAATCATCTAAATATATCCAGTGTTACAGGTTAAAGGTTTATTTATCCATTCTGCATTGATTACGGAAGTTTCAAGAGAGATTGAATTCAAGCATACTCAATTGGGGGCATTCTTCATTAAATCTCAGTGCAGATATATCTAGATCATAAAATTAGGTTGGTGGTCATGGAAGACATTATGAGTAGGATCTTAATATATATATTAATGACCACATGATCCAATAAATCCATTTGAAAAGCTAAGTGATAACATTAACAGTAGTTATACGTTCTCAACATGATCATTATAAGGTATTAATTTTATATACTTATAACTGGTATATGCCATCATACTAACGGTCAAATATCCATCAGAAAACAGCCCAACAAAAGAATCCCTAAGATTGCCTCCACCCACCCGGACAAGCAAGACACCAGAATATTAACTGACAGCAAACAGCACTCCCTACTAGCACTGATGCTGTGACCTAGTTAGGGTAACGAAACATCTGCAAGAAAACAACCAAACTCAGAGAGCACCAAGCACCATACACTTATAACTAGTGGTATGCCAAATGTCTAAAAGTTGAAAAGTTCTGACTTCCAATTTCAGACTGTTAAGTATGGAGAATAACGGAGACCAGACATCTGACCAGTGACTTCAACTCTTTAATAAAGTAATAGAACATAACAGAGCAACGCTATGGGCAGCAGTAACCCTTTTATAGGGTTAGCTGCTGCCTTATTAACCAATGAAAATGTGCAACAAGTTCAAACTACTAACCAATAAGAAAAGTCCCAAAAGTGGCCAATCAGGGACTAGTTCTGGCCCAATCCCAAGTTGTTGTATAAGGACCAATCAAGAGTGCAGGTTTTCAACCCCTACTTTGCATTTAGGTTATTCACTTTTATTGATTCACAACACAGACTATCCTATTCTGTCATTAGAACTTCTTTTCCTGTTAGTTTTGTAAGTGGTACCTTCAAAAAATATGGTCTTCCAACCTTAATTTTTAGGAAAAGTAACATTTTGAATCACTTTTGCTAGACCTCTGCAGTTTGTGAAGTTTGCAGGAACATCTTACATTGATTTTCTAATAGTAAAACAATTTTAGGTATTATGACATGGCTAGAAGGACTACTGTCCCAAGACAGATTGCTGTAGTATTTGGATGTATCATTTAGACAAGGTAGGTTAAAGCTTATACATTCTAACAAATCTGCTTTATTCTACCTACCTACCTTCCTTACACACACACAAACACACACACACACAAAACATTATAGGTATATTATTATATTATTACTTATATATGTGTTGCTGCACAACTGATATAGTAATAGTAGACTATATTCCGATCTAATTGTTATACTTACTGTAGTCACAGCCCATATTCTTTTTATTTAGATTTTTCTTTTGAGACTGGGTAAGGTCATTCCATGGTTTAATAAAATTGCATGAAGAAATAGCAACAGTTCCATCCGGTATAATTCTACCTGAAGTAAAGAAAATGTTGAAATGAGGGACTCAGACATTCTCATTGCCAAAGACCTATTCCACAGGCACTAAATCAATCAAATTGTCTAGTAGAATATATAACCTGTTATAGGTCCAGGAAAGATTATGATGATTTATATTTATGTCACCAACACCTACAAACCTTGTCCAGTTTTTTTCTCCCCCTCCTTTATTTTTAAATTATTGGGGGAAAGAGGAAATAAAAAGTATTGCTTTGTTTTAATTTATTCAAGGAGGTAGATCCATATATCTTGTAATGGCAGGAGTGATGCTCATTTGATCTTACAGTTTACTTCTTATGCTACATACATATAGAAAGAGAGAGGGAGGGCGTGAGGGAGAGAGGGGGGTGAGAGAGAGAGTAATTATTTTCTAGAAATGTGTACATTTTTACCATAAATGTCACTGATGGTTATAAGGCCCAAATGTTGATTTTGTATGTTGACTTTAACAATTGATTTTAAAATAGAATAGAATAGAATAAAACAGAATGAGAGAGTTAGAAGGGACCTTGGAGGTCTTCTAGTCCAACTCCCTGCCTAGGCAAGAAACCCTACACCACTGAAGACAAATGGTTATCCAACTTCTTTTTAAAAACCTCAAGTGTTGGAGCATTCACAACTTTTGAAGGCAAGTTCTTCCACTGATTAATTGTTCTGTCAGGAAATTTCCCCTTAGTTCTAAGTTGCTTCTCTCCTTGATTATTTTCCACCCATTGCTTCTTGTCCTGCCTTCAGGTGCTTTGGAGAATAGCTTGACTCCCTCTTCTTTGTGGCAGCCCCTGAGATATTGGAACACTGCTATCATGTCTCCCCTAGTCTTTCTTTTAGACTAGACATACCCAGTTCCTGCAAACATTCTTCATATGTTTTAGCCTCCAGTCCCCTAATCATCTTTGTTGCTCTTCTCTGCACTCTTTCTAGAGTCTCAACATCTTTTTTACATCATGGCGACCAAAACTGAATGCAGTATTCCAAGTGTGGCCTTACCAAGACATTATAAAGTGTTATTAACACTTCACATGATCTTGATTCTATCCCTCTGTTTATGCACCCGAGAACTATGTTGGCTTTTTTGGCAGCTGCTGCACACTGCTGGCTCATATTTAAATGGTTGTCCACTAGGACTCTGAGATCCCTCTTACAGTTACTACTATTGAACAAGGTGCCACATATACTGTACCTGTGCATTTGATTTTTCTTGCCTAAATGTAGAACCTTACTATTTTCACCATTGAATTTCATTTTGTTAGATAGCACCCAATGTTCAAGTCTGTCAAGATCCTTCTGTATCTTAAGCCTATCTTCTGCAGCGTTGACTATTCCTACCAGCTTGGTGTCATCTACAAATTTGATGAGGTCCCCATCTATCCCCTTGTCCAAGTCATTGATGAAGATGTTGAAGAGTACTGGGCCTTGGGTTACTCCACTGCATACATCCCTCCATTTAGATGCAGTTCCATTGAGGACTACAAGTTGAGTGCGGTTGGACAGCCAGTTAAGAATCCATTTAGTGGTGGTGCTGTCTAACCCAAATTTTTCTACTTTAGTAGTAGGTTATGGTCTACTTTATCAAATGCCTTACTTAAGTTCAAGTAAATTATATCGGCAGCATTCCTCTGGTCAACTAATTACAAACAAACTGTACTATACCTGAAAGGAGATACTGTTTCTTTTTCCTCTTGAGGACTTGTAATTCTACCCTACAGAAACTTGATTGCAAAGGTGTAAAAACATACTGAACATCTTTTGCTTTTTCAAAACCTTTAAACACCTATTAGGAAAAATAAAATTCTATATAAGCTGTATAAAACACTTTAACATTTTACTGTGTAATATTGATATTTGCACTACTTAGCTTCCCACTTTTTCTATTGTGCTTTCTAAATCTCTGTACAAGAGAGCATAGGAAAAGTGGCTGGTTTGATTGCTTGTTGTTGCCAGAGGGATGGGGGTTATTGTTTTTATGGTTTCTATATTGAGTTTTTAAGTTTTTGTAAGCAACAAATAGTGTGAACACCCATGAATGAACTAGATTATCACATTAATTATAATACCACAGCCAACCAAGAAAACTGAAAATGGATAATTGGAGAAGCCTCTGCAAGTTCTCACTCAAAGCACAAATAAAGACACATGACAATGGGAATGCTGCAAAGATCATAAATGCAAGGATTAATCATAAGTCACTTTCTTTTCAATGCCGTTGTATATTCAAAAGGTCACTAAATTAATGGTCATAAGTCAAGGACTACTATACAATGCTTCCATTACAATGATTTCCCCTTTGCAGAGTAGGAAGAGCTAATGGTCAGGATAGGGACAGATCTTCATGGAGATTGTGCATTAGAGAAAACAATCGTTAACAGATTTAACAGATAATCAGAGTTTGAAGGGACTTTGTAGGTCATCTAGTCCAACTCAAGTGGGAGACCCTACACCATTTCTAACAGATGACAGTCCAATCTCTTCTTGAAAGAATCAAGTGATGGTGCTCCCACAACTTCCAAGGGCAAGCTGTTCCATTGATTGATTGTTCTCACTGTCAGAAAGTTTCTCCTTATTTCCAGGTTAAATCTCTCCTTCTTCAGTTTCTATCCATTATTCCTTGTCTGGACTACAGGCGCTTTAGAAAATAGCTTGACTCCTTCCTCTCTGTGGCAGCCCCTCAAATATTGGAAGACCGCTATCATGTCTCCCCTGGTCCTTCTCTTTACTAGACTAGCCAAGCCAAGTTCCTGCAACCATTTGTTGTATGTTTTAGCCTCCAGTCCCCTAATCATCCTGGTTGCTCTTCTCTGTATTATTTCTAGAGTCTCAACATCTTTTTTATAATGTGGTGACCAAAACTGGATGCAGTACTCTAGGTGTGGTCTTACTAAGGCTTTATAGAGTGGTATTAGTACTTCCCTTAATCTTGATTGTATCCCTCTGTTAATACAATTTAGGATTGCATTAGTTTTTTTGGCTGCTGCTGCACACTGCTGGCTCATATTTAGCTGGTGGTCCACTAAGACTCCAAGATCCCTCTCACAGTTACTGTTATTGAGCCTGGTTTCACCCAGTCTATATGTGTACTTTTGGTTTTTCTTGCCTAAGTGTAGGACTTTACTTTTGTCTACATTGAATTTCATTTTGTTAGATATGGCCCAATGTTCTAGTCTGTCAAGAGCCATCTGGATCTTGACCCTGTCTTCTTGGGTGTTAGCTATTCCTGCCAGCTTAGTATCATCTGCAAATTTGGTAAGTTCCCCTTCTCTTCCCTCATCTAAGTCATTAACAAAGATATTGAAGAGTACTGGGCCTAAGACGGAACCTTGTGGCACCCCACTGCTTACTTCCCTCCATGTAGACTTAGACCCATTAAGGACTACTTGCTGAGTACGGTTTGTCATCCAGTTGCGAGTCCATCTGGTGGTGGTGCTATCTTTTCCACTTTTTTCCAGCTTACTAAGAAGTAGGTTGTGGTCTACTTTGTTGAATGCCTTGCTGAAATCTAAATATATTATGTCCACAGTATTTTGCTGGTCTTGTAATTTAGTCACTTTGTTGAAGAATGAAATAAGATTGGTTTGGCATGATCTGTTTTTAACAAAGCCGTGCTGACTGCTAGTTATTACTTTACTTGTTTCTAGATGTTGGCAGATCTGTTTTTTTTATTATCTTTTCCAGTATCTTCCCGGGTATTGATGTTCCTACCATCCCTGTCCAATTGTCCCCATTATACATACCTGGTTCCTATATTCATACTCATATTTATTCTTATACTTATTATCTTGTAAGCGATTGACAAATCAAATCAAATAAATAAATAAAATAAAATATGAGTAGTCACTAAGAGTCGAGAATGATTTGGTGGTACATAATCAAACAATAACTGGCCATGAGACAAAACTCTACAAAGGGGGAAATCATTGTAAAGAAAGGGTTGTAGTGTCATATTTGCAACTTCCCTAGCTAGACGCCCAGTTGCCCCTGACTAGTTTCTGACAAGCAAAGTCAGACTCCCCTTTATGACTGTGATTCACTTAACGGCTTTGGCAAAAAGGTCATAAAATTGGGCATGACTCATTTGGCATCCACATCTCTTAGTAATGGAATTTCCATTCTGAAATGTGGTAATTAGTCAAGGAATACTTGTCACCTCTAGGTAATATGGGCAGTATAGACATTTAAAATGATTAAATAAATAATAGTCAATGTCTTGATTTAAATGAATTTTATCATTCAAAATAGTAATTCCTAACCAGGCATGGTAAATCATAATACTAAATATTTTCTCACTAAAATATTGCTGATAGGATTATTTAGTTCCTTTAAAATATGAATATATGACTCCTATATTAATTTCTAAAATGAAAAACTAAAGTGGGTAGAGTAGGCATGCTCCAGATCCCTTAAACACTGCTGCCTTGTGGGTCCTTGGAAGTGTACCTTTTCCATTATGTCCCCTGCCCTATGGAACACTTTCCCCCTGGAGATCCAAGAGGTCCCCAACTGTTTTATACTTCCAGAGGGCACTCAAAGCATGGCTCTTCCCCAGGCTCTAAGATAAGGCAAGGTGAAGCTGAGATCAGAGTTGGCCTCAATACCATTGTGGCTCCAGGTCTTCCTGCTTTTTAGTATTATCATTGTTGATTTATGAGTCTACAACTGTTTCACTGATTGTAAGCTGCCCGGAGTTGGTTTTAATCTGGGCGGGTATGCAAATGTAATAAATAAATATATAAATAAAATGATTTGCAAAATGTATGGAAAAAGGAAAAGCATCAAATAAAAATGTTTTTAAAAACACAGGAACAAAATCCTTTCTGAAAAGAATTAAAGTCATAACTTTGAATTGGGATCAGAAATGAAATGATAAGGCAGATATTTCAAAACAGATTAGTACATTCAAATCTATTTTAGGTAAGCTGCTGCTTTCTATAGTACATTATGCACCTTCATTATATTTATTTTATTTGGATTTATTTATTATTTAGCGTATGGCAAATACATGGACATAGTAGTTCAAATGTTAATGTCCAATCCATCCAGCCATTCAAGGACAGGGTGGTTTATGTTGGAAAAATAAGACATTGGGCCAGTGTAAGCTCTTGATGGACTTTCGGACACAATGTGATGGATATTTTGTGGAGGAGAACCACAGTCACACTGATGGGTAGAGACAAGACCCCACTTAAACAAGGAGTCTTGGCAGCTACCATGTTGGGTACGGATCCTGTTCAGAGTTGACCAAAGCCGGCGAGGAAGGTCAAAACCTGGCACCTTTTGTGTAGGGTCATCTAAGTAACTACCTGTATCTGGGCATTCAGCAGCCCATTTGGCTTCCACTGTGAGTTGAAGTATTTATCCTGGCTATGAATGAAATGCTATTTTTCTCCCTTAGCTACTGAGTTCTTATGTAACTAAAGGTGTTGACTCAGAAATGAGTTCCAATCCAGTTGAAGAGGAAACAGTTTTCCCCAGATTAATTAACAGCCTCTCTGGATCTCTCTTGGCTTATTTTCTTTTTGCCACAGTGAAACATTTTGCAGATGGGTAACATTTGTTTGCAGCTGCACAGGAGCATTTTGTTCCATTAATTTCTACAGGTCAGTCTGTACAGGAGCATCTAATTCCCAATCCTTGATCTGCCAGCATAGCTGCAGAGCTGCAGGTCAGGGTGAAGGGACTAAAGTATAAATCATGTCAGAGGATAGCCACTATGGTGAGCAGATGAGATGCTTTCAATTTGTTTGTTTGTTTTGGGTTTTGGAAAGAGATGTATTTTTAATGCAAAGTTAAAGACAGTGGGGAGAGGCACTATTGGCATAATTGGATAATAAGTGAGACAATTACTGACCAGAAAAGACACTGCTTGCCATTCAAAGCTGAAAATGTGCATTACAAGAACATCAATACTATTTCACAGAGGTGGGATTCAAATTTCTTAACAACTGGTTCTATGGGTGTGGCCTAATTTGTAGGTGTGGCTTGGTGGTCATGTAACTGGCTGGGCGTGGCTTGTATTTAAATATTGTAAATATTTATGTAAATATTGATTTATTTTTATTGAAAAAGAGCACCTTTTACCCAAAATGAGGCAAAGCAGGAAGGCAGATTGAGTTGCTTCCAGAGTCACAGATTCACTCAGAGATCTACCCTTCTGCAATCTGCTGCCTGAGTCTGTCACATAAAATTTGCTTGCAAGCAAACTCATAAAATTTGCTAGCAAGCAAACTCACAAAATTAACTCACAACACACCATGTATGTAAATATTGATTTTTTTTATAAAAAAAAAGCAAGAGCAACTTTTACCCAAAATCAGGCAAAGCAGGCAGGCAGATTGAATTGCTCCCAGAATCACAGATTCACTCAGAGATCTACCATTCTTCAATCTGCTACCTGAGTCTGCACTGAAAAATAGAAGCTTCGGTCCTAACAAAGGTTCAGCTCTGCTTTTAGATTAGCTAGAAAGCAAGAAATCCAATGATTTCCTGCTTTCTAGCTTATCTAAATCTCCCAGCACAGCTGATAGTTGGAACAGCTGATAGTGTGTGGGGTGGGGGGGAGGAAAAATAGCAACTTACCAAAAATTAGGCAAAGGCACAATTGCAGGTAAGTTGGATGGCACGCATGCCAGGCAAGGAGTGAGTGGGCAGGGTGGGGAGGGGCAGGGTCAGACAGTGGCACAATTTGCCAGTTCTCGAACTGCGCAAAATTGTAACAACCGGTTCTATAGAACCTGTATGACCAGGTAGAATCCCACCCCTGCTATTTCATTGCATAGTAAAATAGTAATTTTACTATGTTTACTTGTTTACTTCCTGCTTTGTTTCAGTTCTGAGGGGAAGACTTGCTTCTCCTAATGTATGTTCTTTTTCCTGCCATTTAAACCTCAAAACAGAGAAAGGCTTTCAGATACCTTTGTGATTTTGATTTCATACCGGATGATTTTCACAGAAGTCACTTGACGTGTAATCACTTCTTTACCCCATATTTCTGCACGAATCACTGAAATAAAATAAAACATTATTGAAAAAATGGATTGAAAAAATACCTGGTTTTTTTTCCTCCAAAAGTCATAGTAATGTGAAAGCAATTATTTATTTTATTAAAATGATTTACATCCTGTCTTTCAGGATACAAATCTTACCAAATTATCTTACATGCTATGGTGATAAACAGACACAAATCAAGAATAGTTTTCAAAAACTAAGAAGAAATTTTTTCCTTGTCCCAGGACAATTGGTAGCATTGGCCCTCTGAAAGAGGGAAGGAAAGAAATTCTGTAGCCGGATGCCATGATGGTCTGTGCCCGGGATTCTTCCCATCTTAGGCTTTCTCAATCTTAGCATGTTTAAAATGGATGGACTTCAACTCCCAGAATTCCCAGCATCCTGGCTGAAAATTTCTGAAAGTTGAAGTCCACTCAACCAGCTATCCTCAAAGATGAGTTTTAAAAAAATGATATAATGTGTGGGTAGAAGGAGTCCTTGATTTACGATCACAATTGTGACCAGAATTCCTAAGGAAGGCAGTTCTTAAATGAGTTGTGCCTGATTTCCTGAACCGTATCTGACATGGTTGTTAAATGAATTGCTGCATTTGTTAACACCTCAGTTGTTCTCCCATTGATTTTGCTTGTCGCAAACCAGCTTCTCGGAAACCAGCTTCGGAAACCAGCTTCTCCCATAGCTTCTCCCATTGATTTTGCTTGTCGGAAACCAGCTGGGAAAGATACAAGTGGCAATCACATGACTCCAGGATGCTGCAACCATCATCAATACATGCCAGTTGCCAAGCACCCAAATTTTTATCACTTTTGACCATGGGGATGCTGTAGTGCTAGTATGTGTAAGAACTGGTCATTAGTCCCTTTCTTCAGTGCCATTGTAACTTTGAACGTTCACTAAAGAAATGGTTGTAAATTGAGGGCTACGTTTAAGCATTATCTGAAGAGATAACTATTTAAGTATGTCAGCTTTTAAAACATAAGTGTGCATTCTTTCAAAATACTGTTTACCTAGTTATAATTATATTAGTTATATAGGTAGTCCTCAACTTTTCAAACTTAAAATAGCATTGCAGGTATGAAACAACCTCTTCTGATTATTGCTGGAAGAGTTTTGAAGTCTTAGAACTTTCCACTTGCTGAAAAAACCAATTGAAAAGAGCATTTTGAATTTTAGTTTGAAATATTCCATTTTGAAATATTTTGAATCTGAGATTTTGGTACAACCATGAGAGATATGCTTTATTGTAAACTAGAGGATCAAGCGTATTTATTCTCAGATCAGCCGTTTTACTATGCAGGAAGAGGGGTCATGAATGGATTAGGAATTATTAATGAATTGTGCAACAATTAAATTCTCTCTAAAAGTGGTGAGCAAGGAAAATGTGAACTTAGCGTCCTATGAAATGCTCCATTTGCTGCTGGTGAAGCACGGCAAATTTTCTTGGCTCCCAGTTCTTTCATCCTCTGAAGACCACTGATTTGCGGTGATATGAAGCGCAGCTGGGTTTTTTCTTTGTTTACTTCACCCAACATCTACATAAAAACAACCTTATTGTATGACAATTACAGAATATCCATTTGTAAATAACTTCAGTAGATAGGTGGCAAGATAGTAGGGGCAGTCAGGCACAACACTGGTTATGTAGACACAGGGTCAAACAAAATGGACTCAAATGTCTATACACCAATGCACAGAGTATGAGGAATAAACAGTCTGAATTAGAAATTCAAGTAAATGACGGTAGATATGATATTGCTGCCATTACAGAAAATTGGTGGGATGAAACCCACAAGTGGAACATACAGCTGGAGGGATTTAAATTATTTAAAAGAAATAGACCAAGTAAAAGAAGAGGTGGAGTTGCACTATATATAAGAAATAACTACATCTCTACAGAAATAGAGCACAACAGTGATGAAAATTATCTTGAATGCATTTGACCTGACTGTAAATATTCAAGTCTTCCTGCAACCTGTTCTGTTCCAGAATATTTTATTCCTGTCTATTTTATTATCAATATGTTTGCATGTACCATAACATTAAAATTGCTATAGGATGCTCGACTAGGGATCTGTTCTTTTTAATTTTCTTCCTTAAATATTCTTTTCATTTTGTAGCCTTGCTTACCTTACATTCTTGATGTCACAAACCATGTTAGCATCAACCATTGACTTCTCTATTAGCACCTGCTATATATTTGTTTTGTATGATTACAAATATAAAACGTGTACTGTTTAATATGATCTTCTGTGTATGTAGAATAGACAAATACTGATAAGCTTTTGCTTTACCGAGAGCCCTGAATAAACAATTCTGCAGCTGAACTAATGTATTTTAGTTTTAGTTTTTCACCTAAAATACTATGTAGTGATTTGTAGTTAAGCAGCCTAAAAACTAGTCATTTTATTTTAAGCTCAAAACTATGGAGCTAGGGATTTTAAAATAAAGAATCATAAATATAAATTTAACTTAATTCAGAAATTAATTTTCTATAATTATTTCATCTCAACTTATCACAATTACATGCTGTGTCAATATATTTCATATTTCAGAAAAGTAATACATATAAGAATGCATAGAAACAATACATGCATTTTGTGAATTGTTTTATCATTAAACTAAGTTATTTTTCTCTTATATTTTATACTGCGTGTCTAGGTAATTTTCTTGATGAATTTGGATACGTTAGAGCTTGTCATGGTTACAAAGATTTTATCAACACAGAAAATCATTAGGCAGAAGATTCTGCCTCTTCCAAACAAATGCTAGTTTTGTGACATTTCAGTAATTAATGTTTTACAATTGCTCTTCAAGTCTGAACAGAAGCTATATCTTGAACTGATAAAATGGCAAAATAACAGATAACAGATAATCAGAGTTGGAAAAGACCTTGTAGGTCATCTAATCTAATCCCTCATCCAAGCGGGAGACCCTACACCATCTCTGACAAATGGCAGTCTTCTTGAAGGTCTCAACTGATGGCGCTCCCACAACTTCCAAGGGCAAGTTCCATTGGTTGATTGTTCTCACTGTCAGAAAGTTTCTCCTTATTACCAGGTTAAATCTCTCCTTGTTCAGTTTCCATCCATTATTCCTTGTCCGGCCTACAGGCGCTTTAGAAAATAGCTTGACCTCTTCCTCCCTGTGGCAGCCCCTCAAATATTGGAAGACCGTTATCATGTCTCCCCTGGTCCTTCTCTTTACTAGACTAGGCAAACCCAGTTCCTGCAACCATTCGTTGTATGTTTTAGCCTCCAGTCCCCTAATCATCCTGGTTGCTCTTCTCTGTACTTTTTCTAGAGTCTCAACATCTTTTTTATAATGTGGTGACCAAAACTGGATGCAGTACTCTAGGTGTGGTCTTACTAAGGCTTTATAGAGTGGTATTAGTACTTCCCTTAATCTTGAATGTATCCCTCTGTTAATACAACAAAATATCACAATCAATTTTGGATTATTACATTATAAATTTTAATATATTCATAATGGTAAACTTTATACAGATTATATACTTGGCAGAGATTGTCTGCAAATAGTATAATACCATGATGGCGAACCTATGTCACGCATGCCAGAAGTGGCACGCAGAGCCACCTCTGCCGGCACACGAGCCATCGCCCGAGCTCTTTTTCACTGTGCATTGTGTGAGCACCTCCCGCCACCCAGCTGATTGTTGGGTATGTGCACGTATGCGCAGGGGCGAGAGCACATGTGGGGGGTTGTGTGTGCATATGCAGGGGCCTGGGGGGGGTTACATGTGAATTGCATTATGGGTGCTGGCACATGTGCGCACGCACACACTTTGGGCACGCGATGACGAAAAGTTTGGCCATCAATGGTATAGTGTATCCCATACTATATATAGTATGCAGAGGGGGTGTGCAGTATCTAGCGACATGAATTAACCAACTCCCATACCTAAACAGAGAGAGGGAGGGGGTAAAAGACTCATAGAAAGGCTAGCATATGTTGCAAAAATATTCAACTGTGAAGTTTAAATCAGCTGAAAGGAACTTGATAAACCCTTGATTTAAAATAGTTAAGAAGCAGATTATAATCTGTACAGCATACATATTATATGACCCATATTCATGTTTATTTATATATTAAATGTTAGTAATATTCAGAAACAGCTCTAGTTCCTATTAGTCCACAGATTTCTGAAAATAAATTTAATATAGCAAGTCCAATAAATTATTAAATATAAAGATGATAAACACAGAATTCCAAAGTAAGCAGTTTTTACATGCTTTTGAAATTCATTTTATCCTGGGAATCGTATGTGGTAGTGTTTAACTCTTTTCTTTTACAGTGCTGATTTTCATTTGAGATATGAACCCTAGAGCATTGCAGAAATGTGAGCATATAGCTAATCATGTCTCTGAACTGCTCTGCTCGTTTGCCCTGTAAAAAGCATAGATGATTGATGACTTACCAATATCAGAACTACAGAGTTGTTGCTGTGGACTGGCTGAGGCACACCTGCAAGCGTCAGTCGGATCCTGAATACTGAGGATTAGAAGGAGCAGTGGTAAAAGTAGCGAAGTACTGAGTAGAGGAGTCATGCTGCTTGAAACACACTTGGATGACTGGCCAGCTTGAAGAAAAGATTCTTTTTATGTTCAATTCGCCCCTCCCAAATGTTCTAATGACAAGTTTCCTCTTGGAGCAAGCAGCAATTTAATTTCAGCAGATTAAACTATTTCTATTGTGCACAGAAATGCTCTGACAGCCCATTCTGAAGATATACTTATCTTAAGTAACTTTTAAGGTTCCTGACATATGAACTGTTTTTCTTTTCTTTAAGCCAAAAGCACATTATTGGTGAAACATGAGAGATTTCTTATATCAGAAGAAATGTTACTTTAATTACAAGCCATTGTCAGCAAAGGTTGGGAAAGCACTTTAGAATAGGGGTGTCAAACTCAAAGCCCGTGGGCCAGATCCAGCCTTTGGGGTGCTTAAATCTGGCCCATGGGACCCACCTGGAAATATCAAAGGACCAGCCAGTGGTGTCTCTGCAAGTCAAAACTGGCCACATGTGGGGGCCCCAAAGCCTGTTTTTGGCTTCCCCTGTCTGCTGCAGCAATCTGTTGGGCAAAAACAGGCTCCACGGAGGCCTCTGGAGGCCTCTGCATGATCCGTTTTTGGCTGGCAGAGTGCTGAAGGCCAGGGAAGGTAAAAATGAGGCGCAGGGAGGCAGTGTGCACCCCGTCTCGCTCCCTACCTGTTTTGGCCAGCAGGGTGCTGCAGGGAGCATCCATCCCGTCTCCCCCCACTCCCTACCCCTCCCTTCCTGACAGCCCGTGGAGAACTACAATGCTGATCCAGCCCCTGAAGAAATCCAGTTTGACACCCCTGCTTTAGAATAATAATCAATTCTGGAATATTTAGCAAAACTGTGCGCATGTGGTATACTGTAAATCAGATTTTCCATTTCATACATTACCTGAGTAAACAGTGTGTTAAAACCCAATGCGTTAACACGAAGCTTATTTTTACTTCTAGTTCATGATCTTTTGCTGTCTATATATTTTTCATCACATCATTATGCTGATTATACAGACTAACATTTGTGAATGGCAAGATTTATTTCATATGTATCATAACTGCATAATTGGTAATTACATAAATACAACAAGATCATTCAGCAAGCAGCAGTAATTTAGTTTAAGATTGTTTCTGTGTCTAAAAGAAAGAGAAGAAATCACATTTTCTCTGTACTAAACATAATACACACCTATAAAATTCATATCATATTCTACAAATTATTATCATTTCATTCATTAAATTTAACAATAAATAAAATGGAGTAAATAAGCATATAGATTAGTAGCTCAAATATCTTAAGCCTTCCAAATTGGACTTTCATGATGTCATGGGTTTTATGTTTTGTTGATAACCTCTATAATTTTACTTTGCTAAGTCTGATTGTGTGCATTTGAATGTTTCAGGAGAAAAAGTATGGTCAGCGAGGTATGGGCAGGCCCCTAACTGTGATCTCTGGCTTAGTGCACCCACCCGCTCGCCCTTGTTCTATGCTTTCCCAAATTAACTTTTCCCCTGTCCAGGCTGCCCAGGTGAGTTCCACACCGCCCTGCTGTACTCACCAGAGTTGTATGAGTCGATTAGCTGCCTGTTTGAAGCTGCATTTCAGACCTAAAGCAGCGCATATGAGCAAAGAGAGTGTGCATGTGCATCCAGTGTACCCCTTGTCAACAAATGTGCCCACCGCTGCCTATAGCAAGTGCAACTTCCTACACTGGGAGTGAAGGTTGGAGACCCCCGCAGCTTTCTTCTTTACCAAGTCATACTGAAATCAGCACTCTCATTTTGAAAGCTTTTTAACTTTCTCCATTCTTGAAAGTAGACAAAGAGAAGCCACTAACCTGTTCCTCAATTATTCAGTGGCAGAGATTATTTCTCTGGAGAAGAGGGGCTGGTGGCCAAAATTACTGAATAGGCACTCTTCTGGAGTATAGGAAGACACAATGGGGACTATATGCATTTTCATTCATTAATTCATTCAGTTTGTATGACTGTCCATTTAGCATGAAATTCTGCTAAGTGTTGCATGCCAAATTAAAAATGGCATCAAAACAAATCAACAAAGATTAAAAATACA